AACAGTGTTAATCAGTGTGGTGTCATGCAGAGTTGTGTTAATCAGTGTGTTGTCATGAAGAGTTGTGTTAATCAGTGTGGTGTCAAACAAGTGTGGTGTCATGGAGAGTTGTGTTAATAAGTGTGTTGTCAAGTCAGTGTGTTGTCATGAAGAGTTGTGTTAATCAGTGTCGTGTCAAGCCAGTGTGTTGTCATGAAGAGTTTTGTTAATCAGTGAGGTGTCAAACCAGTGTGTTGTCATGAAGAGTTGTGTTATTCAGTGTGGTGTCATGAAGAGTTGTGTTAATCAGTGTGGTGTCATGAAGAGTTGTGTTAATCAGTGTAGTGTCATGGAGAGTTGTGTTAATCAGTGTGGTGTTAATCAGTGTGGTGTCATGAAGAGTTGTGTTAATCAGTGTGGTGTTAATCAGTGTGGTGTCATGGAGAGTTGTGTAACAGTGTTAATCAGTGTGGTGTCATGAAGAGTTGTGTTAATCAGTGTGGTGTCATGGAGAGTTGTGTTAATAAGTGTGTTGTCAAGTCAGTGTGTTGTCATGAAGAGTTGTGTTAATCAGTGTGGTGTCAAGTCAGTGTGTTGTCATGAAGAGTTGTGTTAATCAGTGCGGTGTCAAGTCAGTGTGTTGTCATGAAGTGTTGTGTTAATCAGTGTGGTGTAAAGTAAGTATGTTGTCATGAAGAGTTGTGTTAATCAGTGTGTTGTCATGAAGAGTTGTGTTAATCAGTGAGGTGTCAAACCAGTGTGTTGTCATGAAGAGTTGTGTTAATGAGTGTGGTGTCAAGGAGAGTTGTGTTAATCAGTGTGGTGGCATGAAGAGTTGTGTCAATCAATGTGGTGTCATGGAGAGTTGTGTTAATCAGTGTGTTGTCAAGTCAGTGTGTTGTCATGAAGAGTTGTGTTAATCAGTCTGTTCTCAAGTCAGCGTGTTGTCATGAAGAGTTGTGTTAATCAGTGTGGTGTCAAACAAGTGTGTTGTCATAAAGAGTTGTGTTAATCAGTGTGGTGTCAAGTCAGTGTGTTGTCATGAAGAGTTGTGTTAATCAGTGCGGTGTCAAGTCAGTGTGTTGTCATGAAGTGTTGTGTTAATCAGTGTGTTGTCAAGTCAGTGTGTTGTCATGAAGAGTTGTGTTAATCAGTGTGGTGTCATGGAGAGTTGTGTAACAGTTTTAATCAGTGTGGTGCCATGAAGAGTTGTATTAATCAGTGTGTTGTCATGAAGAGTTGTGTTAATCAGTGCGATGTTAAGTCATTGTGTTGTCATGAAGAGTTGTGTTAATCAGTGTGGTGTCAAGTCAGTGTGTTGTTATGAAGAGTTGTGTTCATCACTGTGGTGTCAAACCAGTGTGTTCTCATGAAGTGTTGTGTTAATCAGTGTGTTGTTAAGTCAGTGTGTTGTCATGAAGTGTTGTGTTAATCAGTGTGTTGTCATGAAGTGTTGTGTAACAGTGTTTATCAGTGTGGTATCATGAAGAGTTGTGTTAATCAGTATGGTGTCAAAAAGAGTTGTGTTAATCAGTGTGGTGTCAAGTCAGTGTGTTGTCATGAAGAGTTGTGTTAATCTGTGTGGTTTCATTGAGAGATGTGTAACAGTGTTAATCAGTGTGGTGTCATGAAGAGTTGTGTTAATCAGTGTGGTGTCATGGAGAGTTGTGTTAATCAGTGTGGTGTCATGAAGAGTTGTGTTAATCAATGTGGTGTCATGGAGAGTTGTGTTAATCAGTGTGGTGTTTATCAGTGTGGTGTCATGGAGAGTTCTGTTAATCAGTGTGGTGTCATGGAAAGTTGTGTAACAGTGTTAATCATTGTTGTGTCACGAAGAGTTGTGTTAATCAGTGTGGTGTCACGGAGAGTTGTGTAACAGTGTTAATCAGTGTGTTGTCATGAAGAGTTGTGTTAATCAGTGTGGTGGCATGAAGAGTTGTGTCAATCAGTGTGGTGTTAATCAGTGTGTTGTCAAGTCAGTGTGTTGTCATGAAGAGTTGTGTTGTCATGAAGAGTTGTGTTAATCAGTGTGGTGTCAAGTCAGTGTGTTGTCATGAAGAGTTGTGTTAATCAGTGTGGTGTCAAACCAGTGTGTTGTCATGAGGAGTTGTTTTAGTCAGCATGTTGTCATGAAGAGTTGTGTTAATTAGTGTGGTGTTAATCAGTGTGTTGTCAAGTCAGTGTGTTGTCATGAAGTGTTGTGTTGTCATGAAGAGTTGTGTTAATCAGTGTGTTTTCAAGTCAATGTGTTGTCATAAAGAGATGTGTTAATCAGTCTGTTGTCAAGTCAGTGTGTTGTCGTTAGTGTGGTGTCAAGTCAGTGTGTTGTCATGAAGAGTTGTGTTAATCAGTGTGGTGTCAAACCAGTGTGTTGTCATGAGGAGTTGTTTTAGTCAGCATGTTGTCATGAAGAGTGTGTTAATCAGTGTGGTGTTAATCAGTGTGTTGTCAAGTCAGTGTGTTGTCATGAAGAGTTGTGTTGTCATGAAGAGTTGTGTTAATCAGTCTGTTCTCAAGTCAGCGTGTTGTCATGAAGAGTTGTGTTAATCAGTGTGGTGTCAAGTCAGTGTGTTGTCATGAAGAGTTGTGTTAATCAGTGTGGTGTCAAGTCAGTGTGTTGTCATGAAGTGTTGTGTTAATCAGTGTGTTGTCAAGTCAGTGTGTTGTCATGAAGAGTTGTGTTAATCAGTGTGGTGTCATGGAGAGTTGTGTAACAGTTTTAATCAGTGTGGTGCCATGAAGAGTTGTATTAATCAGTGTGTTGTCATGAAGAGTTGTGTTAATCAGTGCGATGTTAAGTCAGTGTGTTGTCATGAAGAGTTGTGTTAATCAGTGTGGTGTCAAGTCAGTGTGTTGTTATGAAGAGTTGTGTTCATCACTGTGGTGTCAAACCAGTGTGTTCTCATGAAGTGTTGTGTTAATCAGTGTGTTGTTAAGTCAGTGTGTTGTCATGAAGTGTTGTGTTAATCAGTGTGTTGTCATGAAGTGTTGTGTAACAGTGTTTATCAGTGTGGTATCATGAAGAGTTGTGTTAATCAGTATGGTGTCAAAAAGAGTTGTGTTAATCAGTGTGGTGTCAAGTCAGTGTGTTGTCATGAAGAGTTGTGTTAATCAGTGTGGTTTCATTGAGGTGAGGTGAGGTGAAATTGGGTTTAACGTCGCGTCCAAGATTATTGCACTTATATAGCGACGTGCATGCACGTGTATGTGTGTGTGTGGCTGCTTGTACTAGTCCGGACTGATGCCGATTTATAGTGCTAGCTCACTGAGATACCATGCCGCAGTTTAACATGAATACCCCACTCAGACACAGTATACTGACTCCGAGCCGACCAGTCCTTGTTTTAGCCCCTTAATGCCGAGCGCCAGACAGGGTAACAACAAGTACAATCTTTTAACGTCTTTTTGTATGACGCGGCCCGGGATCGAACCCCGGACCTTCCACTCTCCGGGCGGACGCTCTACCACAAGACCACGGAGGCGGTCGGTTTCATTGAGAGATGTGTAACAGTGTTAATCAGTGTGGTGTCATGAAGAGTTGTGTTAATCAGTGTGGTGTCATGGAGAGTTGTGTAATAGTGTTGATCAGTGTGGTGTCATAAAGAGTTGTGTTAATCAGTGTGTTGTCATGAAGAGTTGTGTAACAGTGTTAATCAGTGTGGTGTCATGAAGAGTTGTGTTAATCAGTGTGGTGTCATGGAGAGTTGTGTTAATCTGTGTGGTGTCATGGAGAGTTCTGTTAATCAGTGTGGTGTCATGGAGAGTTGTGTAACAGTGTTAATCAGTGTGGTGTCATGAAGAGTTGTGTTAATCAGTGTGGTGTCATGGAGAGTTGTGTAACAGTGTTAATCAGTGTGGTGTCATGAAGAGTTGTGTTAATCAGTGTGGTGTCGTGGAGAGTTGTGTAACAGTGTCAAGTCAGTGTGTTGTCATGGAGAGTTGTGTAACAGTGTCAAGTCAGTGTGGTGTCATGGAGAGTTGTGTGACAGTGTCAAGTCAGTGTGGTGTCATGAAGAGTTGTGTTAATCAGTGTGGTGTCATGAAGAGTTGTGTTAATCAGTGTGTTGTCATGGAGGGTTGTGTTAATCTGTGTGGTGTCATGGAGAGTTCTGTTAATCAGTGTATTGTTAATCAGTGTGGTGTCATGGAGAGTTGTGTAACAGTGTTAATCAGTGTGGTGTCATGAAGAGTTGTGTTAATCAGTGTGGTGTCATGAAGAGTTGTGTAACAGTGTCAAGTCAGTGTGTTGTCATGAAGAATTGTTAATCAGTGTGGTGTCATGAAGATTTGTGTTGATCAGTGTGGTGTCGTGAAGAGTTGTGTTAATCGGTGTGGTGTCATGGAGAGTTGTGTTAATCAGTGTGGTGTTAAGTCAGTGTGTTGTGTTAATCAGTGTGCTGTCATGAAGTGTTGTGTTAATCAGTGTGGTGTCATCAAGTGTTGTGTTAATCAGTGTGGTGTCATGGAGAGTTGTGTAACAGTGTCAAGTCAGTGTGGTGCCATGAAGAGTTGTGTTAATTAGTGTGGTGTCATGGAGAGTTGTGTAACAGTGTCAAGTCAGTGTGGTGTCATGGAGAGTTGTGTTAATCAGTGTGGTGTCATGGAGAGTTGTGTAACAGTGTTAATCAGTGTGGTGTCATGAAGAGTTGTGTTAATCAGTGTGGTGTCATGGAGAGTTGTGTAACAGTGTTAATCAGTGTGGTGTCATGGAGAGTTGTGTAACAGTGTTAATCAGTGTGGTGTCATGAAGAGTTGTGTTAATCAGTGTGGTGTCATGGAGAGTTGTGTAACAGTGTCAAGTCAGTGTGGTGTCATGGAGAGTTGTGTAACAGTGTCAAGTCAGTGTGTTGTCATGGATGGGTCATTGGATCTGGTGTCATCGGCCAGGTTACAGCAACCGGTGACAGGAGAACGAGCTGGGCTAAGACCATTCATGTCAGGTGCACTTGATAACCATTTCCCAAAGCTGGTCGTCTCAAGTAGTCTGTAGCATTATCTACACACATCTCTTAACACATAGAAATTATATGATTCTTTATTGTCACATGAGATCATAACAAAATATATCCATACAAAAGATAATAAAGTATAAACAGTGGATACATAACCATAGTTGCTCCAAGGACAATGGTTATACAACAAAACAACTGATAGTTGATAAGCTTTGACACATTTGTAAAATCTCTAACCATTATTAAAGGGCTGCATGAAAGAAACTGGATTCCTATTTGACAAGTTTCCTACCCACAAGATAACACATAACAAACTAAAATCAATAGAGCTTTCAACCACCTTAACACAGCTCATTTGATTGCTAAAATATTCACTTCTTCCTGTCAAATGGTTGTGATGGTGACAACTTTACATACTATCCCTAAGGCCAGGAAGTTGAAGTCTCTGTTGGCGCTGTCTACATGAGTGGGAAGATCAGAGAACTCCGAGACACTCAGCTACCATCAAGGAGCTGATCACCATGCAGCAGAATATTCATTAACTTCTATTTCTCTGAGTGTTCAGGTTCAAGGATGTGTTATGAACATACATCTGTCTCTGATACACAAGCAGCTTTAGTTAAACTACAGCACCCGGTAACTTGACTCAGTGTTACATTGTGTATCTAAATATATACACAACTGCCTTGTACAAGCTAGCTGGTCGCAGGGAGGCAGGTACACATTGCCAGCAAACAATTACTCCTACAATTGTCAGTTAATCTTGTTGCTCCAGATAAACAAACATATCAGATATGAAAACTATTTGTACCGTGGTTGCTTACCGTAATAGGAAAATACTAAATATTGTCTGCAAAATTCCTTCTAAAAATGTAAGGTTCCATGGTGGCAAATAAACCTGAGGTTCACTTACGTCCACACTTAGTTTGACTAAGATGACCATTAACGCCCTGCTGAAGTCATACTTGTGATCATAGTCTATAATGGGGTGAAGGCTAAAATAGGGCTGTGATCTTGGTGATGGCATGCTGATGCTATACAAATCTCAATCACACATCTATTTCTACCATGGTGAAATAGACAGAGAGTGGTGACACATGTCTTAATGTCTGGGATATGAAGGCTGATTCACATGAACATTTATATCTTAAGAGCACTCACCTGAGTAAGGATATGAAGAAAAAAAATCAACATCAGCAAAAATAATTTTGAGCAGTGACATGAACACAATGTTTTTCATTCTCGACTTTCAAGTGTATCTTGTCTATTGATCGTAGTAAATACCTGGAACCCATTCACAACTGTAGCTTCATTCTGAGCCAACAACTGTAGCTTCGTTCTGAGCCAACAACTGCAGCTTCGTTCTGAGCCAACAACTGTAGCTTCGTTCTGAGCCAACAACTGCAGCTTCATTCTGAGCCAACAACTGTAGCTTCGTTCTGAGCCAACAACTGCAGCTTCGTTCTGAGCCAACAACTGCAGCTTCGTTCTGAGCCAACAACTGTAGCTTCGTTCTGAGCCAACAACTGTAGCTTCGTTCTGAGCCAACAACTGTAGCTTCGTTCTGAGCCAACAACTGTAGCTTCGTTCTGAGCCAACAACTGTAGCTTCGTTCTGAGCCAACAACTGTAGCTTCGTTCTGAGCCAACAACTGTAGCTTCGTTCAGAGCCAGGGTGGTGGGGTAGCCCAGTGGTTACCATGTGTGAAGCTCATTTCTGGTGTCCCTAACGTGATATTGCTGGTATATTGCTAAAAGTGACCCACAACCATACTCACGCCCTCACTCGTGTTGAGTCTGATCTAAATGAGCAACACTAAAAATAGCCACCCAGTGTAATTAGTCTCATGACAATTCCTCTGCTAAGCTATCTATGAGATGGTGATGTCACTTCCAATACAAAGCTATAGATGTGAACAGGTCCAGGGTGTTTATCATAACAGAATGGGGATACACAGGATAATCAAGGATGAATGTTGTGGGTCTGTGGCAGGCAAATACATGAAGAGAGGTAAGTCCAGTGTGATTCAGGCCAAAATCATGAACCAGCTCCACTTAGTGAATTACAGGAGGGGAATACCAAAGGGCCACAGGTTATCAGTTTGTTCATAGATATGAGGACAAACAACATGTACATGCTATGTTTAGGAAAGAGTAGATGTATAAGACAAACCAGGTCAGCAATGGAGCATGCTACCCTGGGGTTAGACACTGATGGCTTCTACTCCTGTACACAACTACCGGAATGGCACATAATTGGCCCAACACATTAATACCAAACACGGCAACATGCTTAACATATACATAATGTACATTGACAGGCTAATACTGCAAATCTTATACAGGCTATCTTAAACACAGATACACAAAGTGAATCAATGACTAGATTATGCATTATGATGAAAACAGTAAATCTAAGAATACAAAAGTCAAAGAAAGCCTCATCCCAACTGTCAAATCAAGAATATTTACCCATGAAAGCTGAAAAAAGTGTTCACTGAAAGACGTAATGATCTGTCCAGGACAACAGTAAGTGACCGGTGTTCACAGTCAATTACTCCCAATTACACGTGCTACACTGCTGTCAGTCAGCCTTCAAAGTATCTTTCACCTACAGCTTTCCTAGAGAATCCCAGAATGCACTAGTGGCATGTACTCAACAACAAGCCACAGCTCCACACAGACAGGAAGATGATAATGTTCCCATTACAAGATCTTGGACTGAATCAGTAGACAGTTAGTTTAGGGACATACATCCTAATATGTTGTCTTCATGTACTGGAGTCAGGGTGCTGTGAATAGCATATCAGTTGCCAGCATGCTAGCCAAATGTGGGAGGAAAGAGAAGTAATGCAAATCATGGATGTTTACCACTGAAACTCACAAGCACAAAGCATGGTGTTGACAGACCAATGATCATAATATTCAACAATCATAATCTCGAGTCCCTTGAAGATCCGGGTTAGAATAGGTCTTCAGCAACCCACGCTTAACAAAAGAGATGGCTATGCTTGTCTTAAGAGGTGACAAACGGGATTGGTTGGTCAGGCTCGCTGACTGGGTTTGATGCATGTCATCGTATCCCAATTGCTCATGACGTCAATCACTGGATAGCCTGGTCAAGATTATTTACAGACTGCTGTCATATCGTAGGAATACTGCTGAGTGCGGAGTTAAACAACAACAAACAACAATAATCCTAATCTCAGCAAATGAGATTCAAACTCTGGACCGGCAGATCATGGCATAGCTATGGGACACAACTCTACACAGCAACCTGTGGCAGATCACTAGACCTACATTAGATCAGATAAGCACAAACTCATTATCTTAGTCACCACTGACGCAGCAAAGGTTCAATCATGGTACATAATGAAACATAGCAACATATATTCCATGAAATATATTCAATGTCACAACCTATTCATGTATATTTATGTACGCATTCGGCTGTTCATTTCTTAATTGTTTTTCATTCAATGTTTGGTACAAGTTTCTATTTTCAGACAATTGATTCGGCTCATCTCTTCTGGGAGACAAATGGCCCCACCCGTCCCTGTGGAGTCTCAGAGTGTGTGTTGTGCTGCTTCACTGCTGCACCTGTCTTGGGCTTCTGCATCTTGCTGGTCAGTCCCTTGACCATGTCCAGGCTGTACTGAATGGCATAGAAGCCTACCACCAGGCTCGAGCTGAATCCCAGTGCAAGCAGGCAGCACCACAACAATGCACCGCCTAGCAGCACTGTGGCTATGGTGACCACGGTTCCTGCAAAACACAACAACATGCAGTTAAACTCTCCATAAGTCAAAGAGGAATCTCATTTAGGAACAGTTGGCGTTGCCATTATCATGGGACTCTTGCTCTCCTCTTATTGTAATTTACAGATTTGTGATTATGAATCTTGACTAGACCAGATCATGAAACTTGACCAGATGATGAAATTTGGCCTGGCCATGAGTCCACCAGGCCATTAAACTTAACCAGGCTATGAAACATGTCAGTTCACAACAGATGTGTGTACATTGACCATACCCAGGTCACATGATTTCTCCACACTACAGTATGTACTCTTGGACTGATAATACTGCAATAAAGGCACCTTGTATATTTGTTGTGAAAGTTCTTTGAAACTTGACCAGGTAACATACATTCCTCAGTTGAACAATATTTTGCAAAACTTGATTTATGATTGTGCCGCCCCAAAACCTCAGGTACATGAAAGACATTAAAAACTTATTTTACTAGGACATGATAATGACATTTACAAAACACAATTGCCTGATTTGTTTCCGCTCTGTGCCCCAGACAAATAATGCATGCTCTTGTATGTAGCTAGTAAGTGCAATCTAGAAATATTGAACAAGACTTGTCTGAGGTGATGAATGAAATCAATACTGTACACACACCCTCGATGAGGACAAATCCTGCTATGGCCAAGAAGACACTGGCACAGACAAATGTACAGAAGCAGATAACCGGTACACAGCACATGGCCAGAGTGACCACCCAGAACAGGGTCATCACTGGATGCTGATGTGCATACATCTTCACCTCCGACATCCGTCGATCTACCTCCAGATAATCATTGAGGCTGTATATGAGAGATGAAATATCCTCCTCTTCTTTCTCACCAAAGCCTGACATCTTCAGTTACTACAAATAAAAACAGTTTTCATAATCATAAAATAATCATAGATTCCAGATGCTAGCTTGTTTATCTGCAAATGACATTGTTTTGTAAACAACGTATGATTACTGGCATGTAATATCAACCCGTGTGCAACATTAGTTTCATCACATCAAGTTAGTCTCACCACATCAAGTTAGTCTCACCACATCAAATTAGTCTCACCACATCAAGTTAGTCTCACATCAAGTAAGTCTCACCACATCAAGTTAGTCTCACCACATCAAGTCAGTCTCACCACATCAAGTTAGTCTCATCACTTAAAGTTAGTCTCATCACATAAAGTAAGTCTCACCACATCAAGTAAGTCTCACCACATCAAGTCAGTCTCACCACATAAAGTTAGTCTCATCACTTAAAGTTAGTCTCATCACATAAAGTAAGTCTCACCACATCAAGTTAGTCTCATCACATCAAGTAAGTCCCATCACATAAAGTTGGTCTCACCACATCAAGTTAGTCTCATCACATAAAATAAGTCTCACCACATCAAGTTAGTCTCATCACATAAAGTTAGTCTCACCCAAACAAGTTAGTCTCACCACATAAAGTTAGTCTCACCCATAAAGTAAGTCTTATCACATCAAGTTAGTCTCATCACATCAAATTAGTCTCACCACATCAAGTTAGTCTCATCACAAAAAGTTAGTCTCACCACATCAAGTTAGTCTCACCACATCAAGTTAGTCTCATCACAAAAAGTTAGTCTCATCACATAAAGTTAGTCTCACCACATCAAGTTAGTCTCACCACATAAAGTCAATCTCACCACATAAAGTTAGTCTCATCACATAAAGTTAGTCTTATCACATGAAGTTAATTTCATCACATAAGGTTGGTCTCATCACATCAAGTTAGTCTCACCACATCAAGATAGTCTCATCACAAAAAGTTAGTCTCATCACATAAAGTTAGTCTCATCACAAAAAGTCAATCTCATCACATAAAGTTGGCCTCATCACATAAAGTTGGTCTCACCACATAAAGTTAGTCGCACCACATAATGTAAGTCTCATCATATAAAGTTACCGGTATTCTCACCACATACAGTTAGTCTTATCACATGATAAGGTTAGACTGACAACATAAAGTTAGTCTCACCACATTAAGTTAGTCTTATCACATGAAATTAGTTTCACCACATAAAGTTAGTCTTATCACATAAGTTAGTTTCACCACATGAAGTTAGTCTCACCACATAAAGTTAGTCTCATCACATAATGTAAGTCTCATCATATAAAGTTACCGGTATTCTTACCACATTAAGTTAGGTTAAACATTAAGTTAGTCTCACCACATATCACATGATAAAGTTAGTCTCACAACATAAAGTAAGTCTCACCACATAAAGTTAGTCTCATCACATGAAGTTACTCTTATCACATAAGTTAGTTTCACCACATGAAGTTAGTCTCATCACATAAAGTTAGTCTCACCACATAAAGTTAGTCTCATCACATCAAGTTAGTCTCATCACAAAAAGTCAATCTCATCACATAAAGTTAGCCTCATCACATAAAGTTGGTCTCAGCACATACAGTTAGTCTCACCACATAATGTAAGTCTCATCATATAAAGTTACCGGTATTCTCACCACATAAAGTTATGTTAAACATTAAGTTAGTCTCACCACATACAGTTAGTCTTATCACATGATAAAGTTAGTCTCACAACATAAAGTTAGTCTCACCACATAAAGTTAGTCTTATCACATGAAATTAGTTTCACCACATAAAGTTAGTCTCACCATATAAAGTTAGTCTTATCACATGAAGTTAGCCTTGTCACATAAGTTAGTTTCACCACATGAAGTTAGTCTCACCACATAAAGTTAGTCTCACCACATAAAGTTAGTCTCATCACATAAAGTTAGTCTTATCACATGAAGTTAATTTCATCACATGAAGTTAGTCTAACCACATGAAGTTAGTCTTATCACATGAAGTTAATTTCATCACATGAAGTTGGTCTCACCACATAAAGTTAGTCTCATCACATGAAGTTAGTCTCATCACATAAAGTTAGTCTTATCACATGAACATGATGAAGTTAGTCTCATCACATAAAGTTAGTCTCATCACATAGAGTTAGTCTTATCACATGAAGTTATATTCACCACATAAAGTTAGTCTGATCCCATGAAGTTAATTTCATCACATGAAGTTAGTCTCACCACATAAAGTTTACAATTACATATTTCCACAAGAGGGTTAAGAGTTCACCCTTGTATGACATATGTCTTTTCTGTAACATGTTTTAAAACATTACAATGTACAAGAAACAAATGCATATATTTTTCACAAGTATATCCTTTTGACAACCATTCAATGTGGACTTAAATGTTGTATTTGAAAGTTATTCAGACTTAACCAATAAGTCTAAAACAATTCATATGTGTCTTTCCAGTAACAAAATATTGTCCATCCCATAACAAAATATCCTTCTTGTAACAAAGGCCTTTTTGGTTCAAATATCTGCCATAGGCATTTTATCATTGGAGATTTAGGTTTAACATGTTGGATCTATACACTAATACTGAGTCTTAGGGAATTGAGACAACTGAATAGTTGAACTATTATGTTGGTTGAAACCCTTGTCATTTTGATGATGTGACAATCACACATACATGTTACGGGATTTCTACACAAGAACTAACGCTTATGGCATTGCTTTGTAGTTATTACAAAACTTACTACTAATATATAAAAGACCTGCATTCAAAGTTTTATTTTTTTTTTAGGTTGTTTTTATGATTTCATAAACAAACAATTTTGTTTCAGGAGTGCATACAGAAAAACGTAATAAAAGTAAAAATTATTGTGATATTAAGTTGTCTCTTTTTATTTTTGTACTGTGTGTTCATCTATCCAGACCAAGGAAAATATTGGATCTACTCCTTCATCGGTTTTGTTATACTTCACACTTTTGAATTTTGACATATTTTGATATTGACACATACTTCTTAGGGGCTCAAAATGCCACATCACAAAGATATTCACCCCTAAATCAATGTAAATGGCAACAGTGCAGCTTCGTCCTCTACCAACAACTCATTTACCTTGCTACAACACAACCAGTGTCTCACTACCGTGGCTGACGCTCGCATGCACTCGTCTCAGGGAGCTGACACGACCTGGTGATCCAACATCCTATACGACGCACACACGCACAGAGCAGCATCTTAGTTATTGAATATCATACCTTTTGTAGCTTCTGCAGCAAGTGGCAAACACTTTGATGCTGATACGCGGTGGAAGTCTTAAAAATAACTCAACAAAATGTTAAGTTAATGTCTGTTTAGTAATTGAAACTAAAATTTACACCATATCTAAATTAACCCACGATTTCAGAAACAATTTCTAAAATCACTACTTACCACGATTTGTCCTTATTTGACTATGTTTTAGTCCTTATCTGACAATGTTTTAGTCCTTATTTGACAATGTTTTAGTCCTTATTTGTCTATGTTTTAGTCCTTATTTGACAATGTTTTAGTTTTCTGCGTTTTCTCCGAAGGTCTGGATCACAGGCCCCTGAAGCAGGATAGTGATGTAACTGAAGTCTGGATTCATTATTCAACATTACTGTGTCGACCCAAGGCTGTGCATTAGGAATTAAAGCTTGCATATTGTGAAAATCAATATGGATCTGTTGTGGATGGACTTGCCAAACCTCGAACAGCTGATTTTAATGTGGTGACTTATTGAATATAATCTGTATGTACATATACTTGACATGGTTTTCGTCGCCGAATGCTAAACTGTGCTGGGAAGACGAGAACCTTGTTTTATATCCGGGATATATGAATGTGATCTGCCGAGAGACTGACAATGTTTCTGTGTTGCGGTGTCTTATCACATACATAACCAAACCTTCTTACCTCAATGAAAACTCGTAGAACAAGAGATCTTCGAAATAAGGTAGAACCTATATTGACGGCCTATGTTCTCTACCTCTAACTGTCCCAAATCCGGAAGCATCCCAATCAACTCTGAGCTCGAGAGTTAAGTCCCCTTTAAGCTCCTCACACCAAGCTCCTTCCCAGCGCGTGACACCTTCGTTACACTCTCGGTAACATCGCTGCCACCATTGTGGTAGACTGGTTCCCGTTCGTTCCTGCGACAGACTGGAACGACCGGTATTGGGTAAAACAACCTTCACCTTGACGTTACGGTAAACTGGTTTAGCGCCTTTGCTGGTTATATAGACAGTAACATAGTCAAGACAAGATGGCGACTAATGTGTCGTCTGTCAACAGTAACATAGAAATTGCAAATATTTTGGATCGGGCGAACGGGTACCAATCTTGTAATTTTTTCCAATTAAAGGCTAAACAACTTGATGCTATTTTGGCATATGCATCAAGGGGTGTTTTGGTGTTCTACCGACTGGTTACGGCAAACTGTTGACGTGTTGTGATACAGTTAACGATTCCGCCAGCACTGTAGTGGTTGTGAATCCACTAAATGCGATTCTCGAAGAGCAGCACAATCGCCTCCGTAGCCACAGTGTAATAATTATAAATAAATGTATGTTTCATGTTTGGAAAATAGTGCTATTTAATATGTAAACCTCCTGAAAGGGCGATACCTTGACGTGGTCAGGAGGCTTAATTCGCTTTGACTTTGATATGGTCGTAAGGGAAGACCAAAATCGCCTTGTTGTAGTAATTATTTTATTGCACATTTTGTTAAACGTTTTCTATAAATAAACATGTCTTAGTGTACTGTGTCCCATTATCCTCACCCCATATTCAAATTTCAGATCAGTCACATTATTGTTGATGAGGGCATTGTGTCATATCATGGGGGAAATCTAACTTTCGACCAGCCTTTCTCAAAGTAGGGGATTTACGTGCAATCCTTAGAGCCCAGTATGAAATTCAGCAGGCTTTGTGCATAGTGACTCCTCTAATTGCAGCTGAAACTCCTGGCAGGTGAAATTTGCAATCAAAATAGATTTATAAACAAAACAGTATACACCAGCGAGGTATGGATACACTTTGTTGATACCCAATTTATGAAAACTTGACATGTTTCGGAAACATTTCCCTAATCTCTATTAAATCTATTTAATAGTATCCCAACTAACATTTAGTACATTGAGTCATTTGATAACACTGATGTAGACATGGAGATTAAGTATAGCCATGGACTTGTATAACTTGTATATAGGTCTGTGGTTTTGCATACAATGCAGCAACCTATAATCTAAAGGGCATCAACATTACTTACAAGGGTCAAAAGGGAAAATACCTCCCAAAAGGGTTATAGATTATTTGTTATTACACTTTCTGCACATGGTTGACCACTGGACAAAAATGATGTTTTCCATGTACATTTTAGTTCAATAGTTTCACACATACATACATATGAATTTAATAATATTCTTAATGCTATTGGAAATGTGAAGTACATCCAAAGTAGTAGTACTAGTACAGTATACTGTCATCTCAAGAAGAAAATTAACACCACAAATCAGAAATTTTTCAATATATTTTCGAATATACACACTACAATATGTACAATCTACAGTATGGTTTGATAAGCTAAGGCAATTCATGCAGCGAAGCACTTTGACAATTACAGATAATCATGACGTGACAAATCCCAAATTTGAACAGTTACCATTCATCTCATCAACGCAAAAATATGTGATAATAATTACATTTGTTAGTGAAATCATAGAAAAAATTGCTTACTTTTCTTATTTTCCATTCACCAATGTTTAGAAAACATATTGTTCTTAAATGCCAAGTTTAGTATGACAAATGGAAACGTAAAAACAATTTACAAACAGTCTTTTAAACATTTTTCGTTTGAGAAATGGTAACATAAACTCAATATCCTGATTTTGTTTCACAGTAAATATGAATTATGTATTATTGCTTATGTCTCTACGTTACACTAGTGATCATCAATCAACATTGTCACTAAAAACAATTGTGAAAGTGAAATTCTAGTCACAGAATAGGTATGTTTTTGCCACGAAATACAGCTGGGATTGATATTAGTTACAAGAATAAATAGTTATAACACTGAAATAGCTTTCTTCGATACAGCACAAAACAACAGTACAACATGATCATAGAATTAATATCACACAATCCAATTTGAATGGCCCCAAATATATGGTGAAAATATACAACCAGTGAACAGTAACCTCATTAACAAACATTTGCAAATTGATAACCCATCTCAGCTTTTTCCTGAACTTGTGAAAGTATCCATGCCAAATGGCAAAGAAATCTCTTAATGCGATAATTGAGCATTTATTCATTTTGTTGTACATGAATACCAGTTTGACCAGATGAGTCAAAGATACTCTTCCAGGAACATTTCTTGATTGGTGGGTAAGAAATTCTGCCAATTGACATTATTTTTTTCTGCCTTTAAATCTTTTTCTTTGATAAGATTTGGGTTCTCTTTTGATTTGCTTAGTTATGCTCAAGCATAATTGAACAACAGACAACTGGTGAGGCTGGTTCACTGACTGTAAGTGGTTGCAAGCAGTTTTGTTTAGGCACCAACGGAGAAGTGGCATCAGTTGACGGTATGTCAGAGACATGGCAGGTCTGTGAGCATATAGCAGGTGCGGCTGGTTCACTGACTGTAAGTGCTTGTGAGTAGTTTTGTTCGGGCACCAACGGAGAAGTGGCATCGGTTGACGGTATGTCAGAGGCATGGCAGGTCTGTGAGCGTATGGCGGGTGAGGCTGGTTCACTGACTGATACATTTGATAACATAGATCTAATTAAGGAATGCGAATGAGTGGTATAAAGTGCATGACTGCTACATGCCCAGGTCACTTCAATCATAGGCCCAAAAGTTACATCAGTCTGTACACCCATTTCTCTGGTTTCGGCACAGTCCTTCCACTCTTTGTATTTGATATTTTCCATCCCCCTGCTCTCCACAAACTGTCAAAAATTTCTCCTCATCTCTAGTCCATCTCCCATTATGGCATGGTTCCTGCAAAATATTATATATTATTTTTTTTCAAATATTCTAAATTTAGGCAAATGGTGCAACATCAGTATGTTTATACAAAATTTGTGTCAACAGCTTAAAACAAAACTTAGAAAATAATGTAGGGAGTCTCATATAAAACTTGTCAGGATGGCCAATACTGTTTGCTTTGTCTTAATCTTTACCACCTAAACTTTGTATCAATGATTATGTTATGGTACGGTCAGTCATGACTTCATTCTTATGCAAGTTCCTACAAACAAAGATGTATGTGTATGCAGTTTGAATACAACTAATAATTACATGGTAATGAATGATTAAATATTAATAAATATAAATAAATATTACTATAAAGAAATTTTCAAATGAATAAAAAATAATAGTCTGCCGTATCAATATTTGCACGAAATTAGTCAAAAGATACACTGACATCAAATAGCCATTATGTGGGTACAAATACTCACCTCTATTACTGCGAAAACTACAATATTTCAAGGCTCTCAAGCCTTGCCCAATGTGTTTTGTCAGCCGCCATCTTGTTTTAGCAGACCATGTTTTATGGTGGGCGATAACGGTCCTTTAATTCCTTGGAAAGCAGAGCAAGACCAGCGACACCAAGCAGAGGATCCGGGAAACAGTCTATGGCCTTACGTGACATCAGCTGTTAATCTGGAGACAACAGATGTAATTACAGTTACTGTACATGTAGTATATTCACAAAGGCATTCAACAACATATTATTATATCATATGTACCTGCATAGGGCCTGTTGCATGTTAAAGTAGTGCAACCTATTCAACTGACTCTTTATGTATTGTAATGCATTGGTTAACATGATCATCAGATAGACACATTTTAAAAGTCACATCAAATGATTAAATATTTATAAATAAAAATAAATATTACTATATAGAACTTTTCAAATAATTTAAAAATAATAGTCTAGTCTGACCCTATAAATATGGACAGATCTTTAATGTCCTTTCAATTAAATATGAAGCATTTGACGATTTATTCATTGTCCTGATTTTTTTCATCAGTTGATCATATTTATAATGTTAATTCTTTGATTGAATCAAGACATAAGGGACCAACTATTTGGTATGCTGGTGGTAGGGCTGGGATTTTATTGAGAAAAATAAATTGTCCCTGAAATATGCTTGAAAACAATATTCATGCTTCAAACTGTTGAAAAAAAGAAATTGACTGCTACAAAGAATACATTGTTGCAAGAGGCATATAAAAACATGATTAGTCTCATAGTTGTAATTAAAAGAATATCTGGTATTTCAGCTGTAGCTGATAATACATTTTGTCTCCAAACACAATCCTAGACCCAGACCACCATCCTCTACCCCACTCTCCCACCAATATCAAATGGTCCCTCAGTATGCTCAGGAATTTAATAATATACCCACGAAATTAGGGTACATGACCATATCTGACCATAAACATAGCCCAGTTCAAATGATTCCCGTTTCGTAATTATTGTCACGATAAAATATTTGCAGCTAAATATTTATTCGTGCTTTCATTGCCTTTAATTTTTTTGATGCGGGAATCATCAAAACTATTCACAAAATATTTCTAGATATTATTTCGGTCAAAATTCAGTTTCATGTGTTATCATTGACATTTTGGCCGTGTCATGTTGTTGCCTAGAAATGACAATTTCGTACTACCAGACACAATGACAAGCATATGAATTATGAATATAAGTGCATATGTAATAGTCCATGCAACATATAGTTGACAACACGGCAGTTTCATACAGAATTTCTCAGAAACTTAAATTGTCTTGCGTAAGAACTTCATGATAATCTGTTCAGAAGGTAAATTCATAAGAGATTCATCGTCCTCCATTTAAAACAAAAACACTGCCGTGTCAATATTTGCACGAAATTAGTCAAAGAATACATTGACATCCCATAGCCTTTATGTTGGTACCAATACTCACCTCCATTACTTGGAAAACTACAATTTTCCAGAGCTCACTAGCTTCGCCAAATGCATTTTGACAGCCGCCATCTTGTTATAGCAGACGATGTGTCATGGTGGGCGATACCGGTCCTTTGATTGAAAAGCCGAACAAGTGCAGCGACACCAAGCGGAGGATCCGGGAACCAGTCTACCATTGTGGGCGCGGCCATTACAAGAATCTTGAAATTTGACGTCTAACCCCATATGTAGTAACGTTTATACTTTTGTTTATGTCTTTGGAAATGCCACTATATTTTATTTTGAAAAGGTTTACGACTGACCATGTTTTCCAGGTGAATTTACTTTGTTGTTTTAATAATCAAATTAGTTCGAGATTGCAGACTAACGGAAAATCAACCAACTTCTCCATTACATTCTTACTATTTCAATTAAGATGATAGTTTTAATGAAATAGAAATTCAAATTGACAAACAAAGAATTTTCAGCGGTAAGTGTATTCGGCGTCACGACAGTCGTCACTTGTTTGTAAACATAACGGTCATTCTGTTGCGAGTTCAACTCCAAGCATGGTTGGGGCCACCTATCACAGTGGCCGCCGTTTTCGCCTCGAGAAATCGGTGACGTTTTGCTGAGGAGCCGTTTTAGCCTGCACCCAGGATTTGGTTGGTTGGTTGGTTTGCTGTTTAAAGCCGCAGCAATATTCCAGCTATATGACGGCGGTATGTGTAAATAATCGAGTCTGGACCAGACAATCCAGTGATTAATATCATGAGCATCAATCCACGCATTTGGGATCGATGACATGCATCAACCAAGTCAGCGAAGAGCAGGGGTCGAGGATCCGGGAACCATGCAGTCTATCGCTGCCAGAGAACTTTAGTCAACGATCGATCTCCAACCAGTCTGATTAAACAAACCAACGTAAATTCATATGGGAAATTGTAAATCAGCCGTAAAACTATTCCAAAAGACATACCCTAAAATATGAATGGCACGATCGAGCCTCACTGCAGTTGGGGTTAGCACAAGTACACTTTTAGATAATTACCACAACTACATTAAGATATCTAAAATTCGAATTTGTGATATAAATAATATTTTATGATATCAACATAAATAGTTTTATGATATCATAAATTAGAATTTGTTACATCAATAATTCCATAAGTTATTGATATAATAAATCAGGTATAAACAGTAAAACGGCGCCTCATAGAGATCGTCCACCCGAGAGATCTATATTGCATAGTTTTAAGGCAATCCGGTTTCGGAAATCTTGCTTTAATTAGGAGATAAACATACTGTGTTTTCAATGTAGAGCTGGGTTACCTGTAGAATTAACCCCGCTAAATTGAATTTGGAACCGAACGCGCAGCGTGAGGTTTCAAATGTTAAATTTAGCGCGGTTAAATCTACAGGTAACCTAGCTCTACATTGAAAACACAGTATGTTTATCTCCATTCTACCATGACTAAATAAAACGCGAACTCTTTGGTGTTAGCAAATATACTGAGTGAAGCGGCATGGGTTGAGTTCAGTGTTTTGAGTGGGTTATCGATCTGAATTACGGAATCACCGAACCAAATATGGTGCTGTATATACTCAAGCAGTTTGTTTACTCCGTAATACTTCACTCGAACATATGACAGGCATTGAAAGCATATAAGCACGGCAAGTTGGTAAGCTAACATGAGGTGGCCATCCCTAAGAAAACAAAGAGGGCTTTGCAAGGCTTTCGCTCTACAACTCACATCACCATTATGACGTCATATCGCTCATTGTGACGCAAAATATATGACGTCACAGTCGTATATAGAAAAGCGCCAAAATTTCAAGCTCTCCGTTGTCTCCAAAACGTAAATACATTCCCTTTGTTGATTTCTGTCGTGTTTTTCTGCACGAAATGTATTGCCACACATCCTTTGAATATTGTAGTAACCGCATCTGTGCATTTTGTAACCTGTTATTGTAGATATAGTTATTTAAATATGCCTACCGACAATGACTGAAAATAGTACTATTCTATGAATATTAGCTTCCGCGGTGATGCGGCCGTCAAACCAGCTGTTTCAATCAGCGGGGGTTTATTGTGATTTAATAGCCTCTGATTGACCAATCAGAATCGAGTAAATTCCAAATTCATGGTAGAATACCGATTCGTTACAAATGCGACAAAAATAAAAATAAATAAATGTGTACGGATCCTCAAAATTTCGTGTACGGATAATCTAGATTTGTGTGTGGGTCCTCCATTTTTGTGCACGAGTCAGCGAAATATGAGCTAGGGTGGCAATCCCACCCACCCCTGAATCCCAAATACCATCTATAATTGTTCACTCTGAGTTTCATTGCTCACCTCTGAATCCCGTATACTACGTAATTAACACGATTCTCAAGACATTGAGAAAAGGGTGCGATTTGAAGTTAAATTACTGAAAGTATATCACACGTTATATACCTTTACGTACACTACACCGCTGATTTTTTTAAAACGTTGATTCAGATTACCAAATATGACTTTCTTTGAACACACAACGCCATTTAGAAAGTGGTCAAATGTAATAAATGTTATATTTGGGATAACACTTTCTTTATAATGTACAGATTCTCGTACTTTTTTTTTACTCAACCCAAAAAAGTACGAAAATAAGTACTTTACAAAGAAAGTGTTATCCCAAATATAGCATTTGTTATGATTTTATTTGGGTACCGCGTACCACTACCGAGTCCCGAATACCCTACTACTACTACTACTGCTACTAAAATTAATTTTGTACTCTGCATACAGATCTAATACTGTTCAAGCACATGCTGAGGACAAAGGCCAAGCCAATATTCATTTCAATAAATATATTAAGCTCACGCTGACATGCTGGACGGTTGTTTCTGTCGCCCGATACCTTTAAGGCTCCATTCAGCGCATGGCTTCAGGTGATTGCAAACACTTTAACGAAGGGGATCTGGTTTAACGTTAAAGGGAGTTCGCACTTTACATGTAGTGAGGTGATGGGCGCATGCGCTGTACGGTAGTCAAACCAGTCTATACAAGTTGGTGTGACTCAAAGCTCCGTCCCAGCGCGTGACATCGAATGTTATCACAGGGCGAAGCTTTGACTTGTGGCAGCGATAGCAGAGAGTGCTATCGCTGCGAGGAGCTTGGAGTCCATGGCGAATGTTTAACGAAGGTGGCACGCGCTGGGAAGGAGCTTTGAATGTTTTCCCATAAAGGGACGTAATTATGATGGACTCTTCCGCTTGATCCGAGAGCTGTCATCAACTGCATCGGATGGACATAGATTGTTAGATTGCTGTTGTCATTTACGATTTCGTCTTTGTCCGAGCACATTCAAAGCAGAGGGTAATATATTTAAAACAACTTTAATCTGTGTGTAGTGTTTAAAGAGGTGGGAAAACCCTTGGACTCCCCGCAGTCCCTTGTTGCTGGTCATCTCATTCGACCAGTGGGGACAGTATTTAGGCTACTCCACACGTGTGGGTATAATTAGTATCATAATATTTGATGTCGACACATGTCAGATAACATTGTAAGATTTCTACCTGTAAGAGGATAAATAGAGTCCGCCAGTCGTCACGCGTCAAAAGGTATTCTTTCAGTCCACAAATGCATAGGCCTAACAGCTAGGCCATGGACCCGTGAAAATCCCGGTATGGCTAGAATTGACCTTACCATGCTTGACCTAACAGGCGACTAACGGGATTGGGTGGTCAATCTAAGTGATTTGGTTGATGCATATCATCGTATCCCAATTGTTTAGATGGATGCACATGATGTTAGTCACTGGATTGTCTGGTCCAGACTAGTTTATTTACAGAGCGCCATGATATTGCTGGAATATTGCAGAGTGTGACATTAAAGGGGCACTGATCTAAAGCAATTCACTGGGACTGGTTGTTGCCTTTGTTATTGTTTTTTCCCGTGAGTACCCGGATGATATAGCAGGAACCTAGACTAGTTCGCAACCTGTGCTGCGCATTTTGTAAGCGCATTTGTCACTTTTATTGATAGTATAAGGGCGTAGGGTCACATTGATCAACAAAAGGAATTAAAGTTTTGGAAATAATAAGGAAATGTAATTATCTTTGTGGGTAGCATCGCTAATGGTGACGAAGTTTTGATAAGTCACTTGCTTGATATATATTTCTCCTGAGCATTGCTTATTTTATCGTGTTTATAATTTTACAGTCAAAATGTGCAAAATTTCCACCTAGAAAATTTATTAAACACCTGAATATTTAGTTATTTTACAAAAAGACTGAAAAATATGTCCATCTGTATGATTATGACAACGAATTCCAAACATTTTTATGTTTAATCATCACCAAGCGACTGAAAATGTTACGATGAAAAGTACATTTCTATATTGTTTAGCTTCTAATCCTACGTAATAATCTATTGTGATGTTTTTAGGCCCTTTTGATCGTCTTAATCAATTTTAGTCAATCTGTTAAAGAAATGGAAAGATTTTTCAGTCAAAATGACTGAAATATTTACACATTTTATAAATTGCCTAAGAGAATCACATTTTACAAATTGAGTGTAATATATACTCGCTTACAAAGGAAAAGATTTGTGAAAACAAGTCTATTGTGCATGGAAGAATTTCCCAACCAAGACGTAGAGGACCAAGAATATACAATAATGAAGGAAAACAAAATGCAAATATCATAATTACAACCTACAAAATTTATGTGTATAATTTTAGGCAGCTTCCTTTGTTGGAGGAATGTATCCGTGAATATCCACACAAAGGAACAATATCCCACACGTCTGCAGCTGTACAAAGAAACTTATTCGATTCCACGTGTCTCTGTTACAATCAAATATTTTAAAATATATATATATATATATCGTTTCGGGATATTATAACCCGTGTTCGTTTCTCAACTGATCACTTAGATTGTTCAGGTGTTTCACATAGGTGTCAAGTCTCTAAGGTCGGCTGAGAAAGCCCACGTGACAACTATTTTCATAACGTCCACTGTTCCTAAAAAAATCCCTTAAGTTATATAACAATGAGCAATCAATCAACGTATTATCGGTTAACCCTTTGAACAAAGTATGTTGTTTTTACATCGGCACTTCACGCCATAATATGAGTGTATTCCGTCTGCTTTAGTAAACCTACACATGTAAACACTGACTTTTGACATATCCACTGTGCAAGATAACAGTGATTAATCAATCAATGTATTTTCTGTTAATCCTTTGATGACTAGGAACGATCCGTTGATTTACAAAAAAAGTAAATCAACTGATCATTCATCTCTTGCTGGGCTGCCATGTGCATATTACATAACACACATTTCACCTCACTTAAAACCTGGATTTAGATTGAATAATTACCCCTGACACAATAAATGCCAAATGGGAACCTTTGTCAGGTAATCTAAGTGGTGCTACCAAGTGTATGGTTATACGAGAAAACGTGGATGACAAGAAGGGAGTAGTGATCTATTATCGACAAAATCCGAAATCCGAAAATGCTTTCACTGCATGGATACTTTTTTTATTATTAAACTATAACCATCAGGGGTATTTCCAAATGACGACATCCGATGAACTCCGCCGTTATTTTTTGTCTGTTTGTTTAGACTGAAGAAATTAATTAACAAGCACCCTTTGTCGAAATCTTAATAGATCACGGTTAACCAATCGGTGTTGAAAAATGAGTAACATAATTATTGCCTCCAAGTTTATTTAGCTGTCCTTGCAGACAGTAGCCCAGTCTCTTGTCACACTCAGTTGCGTTGCGTATCATCCGGGTACTCACAGGGAAAATACAATAACAAAGGCAACAACCAGTCCCGGGGAATTGCTTTAGATCAGTGCCCCTTTAAACAACAAACACACACACATGAAAAACACAAATATGATAGCGGTTTGTAAATAATCATGTCTGGACCAGACAATTCAGTGACTGACTACATGAGCTTCGATCCATGCGATTGGGATACAATGACATGCATCAACCAAGTCAGCAAGCCTGACCACCGATCCCGTTAGTCGCCTCTTACGACAAGCATGGGTTGCTGAAGAGCAATTCTAACCCAACTCTTAAAACGTATTGTTTTTTGAGTGGAAGTGGCAATTCCATGTATTTATAATAATGCGCACAACAATGGCCAAATGATGTAGGTAAATAAGACTGATGATTCACAATATGTGTCATTCAGAATTAATTCTTTTGCAAATTATATATATCACATTGATATATAACTCACACATTGCAAAAAAAAGAAGAAGTGATACTGGTTAACGTTTTGGCTTTGTCATGTGAAGTTCATTGCTCACTGTTAATATATTGGTGGCGTCTTATTTATTCCACCAGATTAATCTCAAATATGAATTTTTATAAACCGAATGATCTCCTAATAAAGTCTTACCTTGCCCACAGTCTGAGAAGTATCTCGACAATTTAATGCTATTTATCTAATAATTCATAGAGTCTATGCAACATCTAACTCTGTTTTTCCAGGCTAACCTCTCCATCTAGCCATGTCTCAGTATGATGTGGACAAGTTTGATCCCCCGCCAGATGCTGAGCTGGTGTGCTGCATTTGCACGTTCGTCCTAGATGAGCCCATGGAGACCCCATGTCGACATGTCTTCTGTAGGCATTGTATTGAGACTTGGCTCGGACATCGCCGCACATGTCCATCATGTCGGAAGAAAGTTTCCCGGAGGGATCTCAAGTCTGTTCTTCCACTTGTTCAGAATATGCTGAACAAACTGACCATGATATGTGAATTCCGGGAAAATGGGTGCCAGAAGAAACCAGCATTGGAGCACTACCGTGCACATATAGCTAAGTGTGACTTTGAGCTGCTCACATGCAAGTATGTCCGATGCAAGGAGCAGGTTCTCCGGCAGGACTTGGAGATGCATGAGACAAATTTGTGTGAGTTCCGAGAGGTCCTTTGTCAGCAGCAGTGTGGCTTGCATGTTCCCATCAAGGACATCGACAGCCATGACTGTATGCTAGCCCTGAAGAAACATGCTGAAGGTGAGGTCGAACTTGCTTTACTGTCATATAATTAGCATCTTCTCAAAGGCAACGGTATCTGTGATCCTATAAAGTTGTTGATAACTGGTAATTGATCACAATGTAGGTGATATTGATTTTATTGCATTACACTACAGTTTTACTAAATCATCTAACTGACAACATATATTTTCTCAAAGAATAAGTAACAGCTTTCTTTCCAAAGTGAAAACATTATTGCAGACATGTTAACATCAGAAATAGAATGTCAACAAGTCTGCTCTGTGGTATGTCATTTAGCATGTTTAGTCCCTTAATTACCATTTTGTCTCAGTATATCGAGGTTTTGTATGATCCATTTCATTTCCATAGTTGTATTATTCAACGTTTAATTGAGTATAGTGAATTTCATTTTCGTTGAAAGAGCGTGGGAAGTGATCAGCTGATCGCTATCATCGCTGAATCATTGTTTGCAAACTATAGCCAATAATCCTCGAGCTTACTTGGCTCTGGTTGCCTTACTCTGCAAGAGAGGTTTCTGCTCGCCACACCGCAGGAGTAGGCTCACCAGGAGGTCAGGAAATGCTTCCTTTTGGGGAATACCCCTGCCTTGTTCCTGACTTCAGTCGTCCAACATATTTAGTTGGTAATCTAGGCTTTGATAAACACTTGACTTCTAACCCAAACAAGCTGGCAATTAGTATTTTAAAAATCATCCGCAAGAAAAACAGACAAGCTTTCTCGTGCCCTTATAAAAACATGACTGAAGCCAGTTTATTTTGCACAGCCCTTGGGTTGTTGGCCTTCCTATGTGGAGCTCTTTTGTTCTTGGTTCGAGAAATGAATTGTGCCTGAACTAACTTGCTAAAGGTGTGATGCACACTTGGCATTATTTTAAACATGATTTATAAACACCCAGAACTGTCAAAGCTTTCGATATGGTATGGCATAACAGGCTAATACAAAAACTAAAAAAGGCAGGACTTAAAGGCCAAATAATAAACTATATCCAAGACTTCCTAACTAATCGCAAAATAACCGTGGGTATCGACCAAACGCTATCGGACCAGTGTCCCTTAGAAAATGGCAAACCCCAAGGTAGCATTCTAACACTCCAACACTTTTCAACATTATGATTAATGACTTATTCGAGGGAATACCCAATAAAATTCAAACTTCCAAATACGCAGATGATGGAGCCCTCTGGGACCGCATCAGAAGCATAAATATGGCTAAAAAGTTACTGCAGAATGCATTAAATAAAATTCAAATATGGGCAAATAAATGGGGTTTCTCACTAAATGTCGAAAAAACCACAGGGATAGTATTCAAACACAGAAATATGTGTGCAAACACCCCCAAACTACAACTAAACAAAAAAAACATACAATTCCAAAAAGAAACCAAATTCCTTGGACTAATCTTTGATGAACATCTCACCTGGGGTGCTCACATTAAAAACCTAACAAATAGATGCACTAAAGACCTAAACACACTACGCTGCCTGACAGGCCCCAACTGGGGGGCCTCCAAGGAGACCCTACTATCCCTTTACAAATTACTAATTAGATAAAAAATAGACTATGAGTGCCAAATATACAACACCTTAAACTCCTCATTAAGCGATAAACTAAACTCAATTCAATATCAAGCACTCAAGATAATCACACGCACTCAGCATGGCGCGCCGCGCATATCGCTACAAGCACTAACAGGCGAAATACCCCTGGATCTATGCCGAGAACATCTAACAATAAATTACTGGGCCTCAACCCAACAAAACCAACAAATCCAACAGATCCTTAAAACTAACATAAGCCCCGGACTCCAAGCTCTAGCTCGCAAAAACCCTCAATTAACACCAATCTCTCAACGCATAATAAATTACCTAAATACACACAACCTAAATAATTTACAGTTAAACACAGCCCCAAATAATACCTTCACACCCAAACTTCAAACCCCCAAAATCGACATATCTCTCTCCACCAGACTAAATAAAGAAACTGATCCAAATACCGCTAAATCCATCACACCAGCATACACTCAAGAAAAATGGCCAAATTGGTGTCACATTTACACAGACGGGTCCTTTGACTCGGGCTCAAAATGCACAGGATTCGGCATCCATATCGACAAACCCCAAAAAGAAACACAATCATTTAGGCTCCCAAATAATCAATCAATTTTCACAGCCGTATTAATGGGGATAGTAACATTCCTGCACAGCGATCAAATAAATAGACACCAAAAAACCCTAATCCTTTCAGACTCATTAAGTGGGCTCCAGGCCATAAAAAACTAAAACACAAAAAAACGCCCAAAACTAATACAGATAATTAAAAGCGCCAACAATCTACGTAAACTAGGTAAAGACATAGAAATAGTTTGGATCCCTGCCAACGTTGCAGTGTTTGGCAACGAAAACGCAGACAAAGCAGCCAAATCAGCACTAAAATTAGAAGTAAGCATCAACCTACCAATATCAAAAAACGAAATTAAAAGTATCACAAAGGAAAAAATCTTCCAAAAGTGGCAAAACAACTATCAGAAATCTGATTGCAAACTAAAACACCTGCTACAAAAGCCATTAAAAAAACAAAAATCCATCATAAAACACAAAAAATTGACAGAGTTTTAACTAAACTACAAACAGGCCACACTAAGTTAAACTCCCACCTGCACCAAATTAAAAAACACCAAACCGGTAAATGCCCCCACTGCAACTTAAAAGAAACGCCCAAACACGTAATACTATATTGCACACATTACGAGCAACACAGAACAACACTCCAATCCACACTAAATTGCAACAATCAAATGACACTAGCAACGGTACTAAACCCCCTAAATGACTTACAAACCTTTAAAGCACTAGATATATATCTAATCAAAACAGGCCTACTTGGCCGCATTTAAAAATAAAAGTACAACAAACAAGCTGCCAATAAACCCTAAAATTCCAAACCTATAAAAACACACAAACTCCTTTTAGTCTCCCCCCTCCACCTTTTATGGCATATTTAAAAATTCCAAAATTGTTCTCCAAATTACGTAAACAACCCTAAAGAGCCCCACCTTGGTTGCCTCACCTTTTCGGACATACCCTTTTCGACCAAACACCAAATGGCCTGGCGGGCTCCGTGCGCGAAATACCCATATGTCGGAAAGCGCACGTTAAATTCCTAATCTAAGTAAGTAAGCAAACTCCTGGGCAGTTCCACAAAGCAATCGTAGCGCTACAACTGTCGTAAGTCTCTGCTAAAGTATGGGAGTTACGATCGTCTTCACGCTAAGAACGCTTTGTAGAACGGGACCCTGGTCCTTTCAGTTACATATCACACACACTGTTATTAGTGTCGTCCTTGACTGTAACATCAAATCCCTTGAAATACATGGCTTTTAAATGTGTACTCTCTTTTAACAAAATATAGAATTGGTTCTGTTTTATAGAGGAATATGAACATGATAACTGTCAACATATGACATTTGTTACTTTGCAATGTTCCGAGGTAGCTATTTATAGTTCTTGAAGTGGTATTTTGTAAGTGGTATTCTTTGAGTACGGTTTTGTTTTTGTCCCATGACATGGTTAGAATTTGTGTCACTCCTAATGACACCGCCTTATGATTAATACAGCACAGTTGTTGACCGACGTACAATATGCTAAAATATTTCTTGGTATTATTTCGTGGTGTTGTCAAAATCTACATAAAGACGACTGCTTTTGGGCGGTCACAGTAAGTTCAAATTAAAGTCTTATGTCAACCCTGTGTATAAATTTTGATATTTTGTGTGTGCGTGCATTATGCAGTTATTCACAATGAATTCTTCTCAGCCTTAACATTACAATACAACATTAACATTTGCTTCAGAGCGACAGAAACATGCCGAGGAGTTGGAAGCCCGCCTTCAGCAGCTGATGTCCCTGCAGGAGAGCCTGCGAAAGGATGTGGAGAGCCTACGGAAGCAGGTGGACCAGGAGCGGCGCCGTCGTCCATCTCATCCTGATGACTGGTTCTCTTCCAGCTGGGACTCCTGGGACGATGATGACCAGAACACACATGGGTCCTCCGAGTCAGACTCAGAGGATGTGCCAGTAGAAAGTCTGTTCTTCAATTCCACTGATAATGATGCCTCTCCTGGTCATGCATCCAGAGATGCATTGTCCGACAGTGATAGTGATGTAGAGATGCTGAGAAACACCAGGAGCTGGAGACGGGTCAGACGTCTGTCAACAACCTCCATCAATTCTGACACACCAGAGATAATTGAGGCAGGTGTTAACAGCTCTGAAACTGTGGAAGTCCCTATAAGTATTGAAGAAGACACCGGTGCCAATGAAGTGGTGGATATGTTCAGTGGGGCTGAGGCTGCTGCAGTGCGTGAAGGCAACACAGAGAGCAGGTTGTCGACTGGGCTTGTTGCAGGGGCAAGCAATCAGATCTTCACTGCAGGAGATCTGGTTACAAACATCATTGCAGAATACCAGTCATTGGGCTCTGCCATCCAACAGTCATTTCGCCAGAGCACTGATAACCTTTCTCGAAGGAATGTAGTTGAGGGATCAAATGATTTGGATAGCCCACTAGTTACGGATATACACAGGAATTTGTCTGATGAACTGACTTCCCAGGCCGGTGTGGGTCAGGCCCTTGACACTGTATCGAGCATGGCCCCCACACCTGTTCTTCCGGCAGTCTGTGCTGATGTTCCAGGTACTTCTGCTTCATGTGATCTGCTGACTGGTTACAGTGCAATCAATACACTGGCAGCTACTGAGAACTGGCCCGCCACTGACAGGAACCATGAAGCTACAGCTCACATGTCACACTTCCCTCACTTCCAGGTGGCCAACTCACTGGACAGTGGTCAAGCAGTCACAACTACAGATTTTTATGAAGAAAGCAGATTAAAATCTGTTATTCTGCCTCTGGTTTCAGATTTCCCATCAACAGATGCAGTGTTCAGTGTTTCTTGTCCTCCAAATTTAGCAGAGCAGGCTGAAGATTCCAAAAAGTTTGGTGACAGTGTTAAGGCAGCATTCATGCATGACTGGGAGTCAGCATGTAGATATCCAAACTCGGACACTTCAGAGGAATGGAAGTCTGCTCTGGAAATTAGCAGAGAGTGTGCACCCACGATCAAACAAGAAGAGTATCTGGGTTCCCCTAGCGTGGATGTCTCAAGGACACACAAAGAATCTGTTGTTGATCTTACGATGATTCGTGGAACAGAGACAGTGGGTGAGGTTGCTCCAAGTGATGACTCCTGTATCTGGATCTCTTCAACAGAGGATGTGGAGTATGCTGAGGACACACTGGACAGTGATGCTTTCAGCAGTAGGAAGACTGGAACCGGTACCTTTACTGATACTTTGACCAGTGATCCTGATGTCATGAGGACAAGTAAAGCTGAAAGTTCAGATGTTAGTAATACAAAACATGGTGATACTATTCCAACTATGTTTTTTCAATGCCACCAAGAATTAAATTCATCTCAATCCAGACTTTGCTGTGATGAAATGCTTGATAAATGCAAAAGGAATCATAACCAATCAGAATTTAGTGAGCCATGTGTGAAAAGCAGAAAGAAATCTGAGCTTGAAAAAGTGGAATCTCATGATCAGAGCTACTCTCCAACTGTAAATGTCAAAATAAATTTGTCCTTACTCGACCTTAGAAAATTTTCAAAGCCTGGGGAAAAAAATAATTCACCTGAAGTCCCTTTGAGACATGCAAAACGTGAGAGTGCAACAGAGTTTAATACAAAACATGGGAGGTCTAGACCATTGTCCAACACTTCAAGTCAAGAGATGAAGTCTACAGGATTTCTGACAACACAAGGCAGTGTCTCCTTGTTGAGGCCTCTACTAAATGGCCCAAGTAAAACTGATTCAGTGATACCTGATCAGCCATCTGGAACTGAATTGGATGTATCGAGGTCGGTACAACCAGCACTGTCCTCCATGTCTGGTGCTCGGAAACGAAGACATGTATCTGAGACCCCTGGGCGTCCAGATGATGATGTTGAGATTCCGCCCAGCACTACCCAACTCCTGGCACAGTACAGCGAGGACAGTGACACTTCCTGGGAGCCAGGCAACTCCGATGTAGAGTACTCTGATGATATGAGTCTCACAGATGATGAAACAGCCAGTGACAGCAGCTATGAGGTTCGTGTTCCCAAACCCTTGTCCCAGCTCATTGATGAGTTGGCAGAGGAAGATGAAGATACTGATGATAGTTGGGCTCCTACTTAACTTGGAGTCACTGACACACTCAAAATACCACAGCACAGATCAGTTTAGAGTATGGCTCTTCATTTTTTTAGATTTTAGATCTTCTATAACATCATTTTCAGTTAATAAGTGTTTTCAATTTACAAATGTATTATTACCATGGCCATGTTAATGAAATATGCATGATCACATGATTTTTAATGTTGAGATGTGTTGAGTACATAAATCTGAAAACAACTTCATATTTTGATGCAAACATTTTGAGAAATTGATTCAATCTGTTATGATGATGGACTCAATTTCATTGAAATATATCATATCTGGAGGTAATGTGTTATGATCAGAGAAAGGTAGACAATATTACTTTGTACCGCTGTCTGTAAGCATGGTAAGAAGGATGACTGAAGGCAATGTATTCATGTATTTTGTATAAGCTATTTAAGAATTGACCCCAGTTTTTTTTGCGTTTATGTAGGTATAAACGAAAAAAATGCAGCGTTAGAAATTGGCACTAGTCCTATAGTCCTTGCCAAACTGCCCAATGGTAAAGGTATCATAAGGACTAGTAGAAATTTGCCCTTTTTAAGGGTTTTGCTATATGTTATCATTATAAGGACTAGTGGACGAAAACTGTTAGTTTCTAACCCTGTAATGGTGCGCATTCTGTTAATCCACGTAAAAATTGGTGTTGAATTCCATTTATATTTACGATTATAACTCAATAAACATAAAAAGGCAATTCTTATCAATAAATATTCAATAATAATGACTTCACCAGTTCACAGATTGCTTATTTAACAATTTCACCAAAAAACTGTTGACAACACTACGAAATCAGTGACATTGCACAGCACAATAAAGCAACACAAACCCCACCCATTCCATTATTAGCCATCTTCCCAAGGCAAGGGAGTTAACTGACTGAAAAAGTCCAGTTTCCACCCTTGCCGAATTAGGCTGGTATTATGGAGTTATATTTGGGCTGGACTAACAAATCTAGGCATAGTCCAATCAAAATCGTGCATCTAAATCGAAATCCGGTTCGTAAACTGTCCTGCAGATTTCGGTCGATTGCAGGATTTGCAAAGCATGTGCACCGCCAACTCGTTGTCAACAGATATTTTCCAAATCTTTTCATGTTTTTAATCAAGTTGCTCACGCATTGCGCCATGTAAGACCCGTTTTATCACAACTTAGACCTTGATTATCGATCAGATCGTCTTGACTGGGCGCCACTGTTTTGTTTGAAGCAAATGCAAGTGATACGAGAGGTGGAATCTGATTGGTCTAAAGGAGAGGCTCAGAGGGGACATAACTTGTAATAGCCATTGGTGGCGCTACGACAGAGCCCAAGAACTCCAGCCTAGTTCGGCAAGGGTGGAAACTAGACTTTTAAAGTCAGTTAACTCCCTTGCCTTGGGAAGATGTTATTAGCCAATTGGGAAACAGTAATTTGTTAGTGGGTGTGACCTACTATTTTTTAGGTTTATGCAAAAAATTGTTTCACATTTATTTACTAAGCATTAATTCCTGTTACTAGTTGTTACTCTTCTTACCCTGATTCTGTCTATTATTTGTTTTATCCCCCAAATGTCATTTATATATTTCATTACAGAAAGAGGGGCAGTTCTTTGACTGAGCTGAGGTTAACTGTGGTGTGTCACGTGACTTTCATTGACTCGGAAAAAATGGGGTAGCCTAGTGGTTTAAAGCGTTGGCTCATCACATACAATGTGTGAAGCCCATTTCTGGTGTCCCCTGCCGTGTTATTGGTGGAATATTGCTAAAAGTGGCGTAAAACCATACTCACTCACTGACTCAATACAGATAGGAATCGGGAATAAGATTTTGCCAGATGATTTTGCAGCTGCACATGAAATCTAATATCCAGTTTGATTTGATTCTTCTCAGAGGTGCAACAGCCTTACAAAACTGAACCAGGTTAACCCTGTGTATCAATTTCTTAAAATTTCAGTCAGGCAACCTGAGTGGCAACTTTGCAAAGTTACCAAATCAGGTAAAATGTTGCCAGTCTAGACAAAAAAAAACTAAGAAAAGAGTACAAAAGAATAGTACTTTTTAATGTTAGTTCTAAATAACTGGTGAATTGTCAACATTAGGGCATTGACATTTTATTCATCAATAATGTCAATAACAATGTTTAATACACATCATGCATACACCATTGTTCAATACACATCATGCATACACCATTGTTCAATACACAGCATGCATACACCATTGTTCAATACACATCATGCATACACCATTGTTCAATACACATCATGCATACATCATTGTTCAATACACATCATGCATACACCATTGTTCAATACACAGCATGCATACACCATTGTTCAATACACATCATGCATATGCCATTGTTCAATGCACACCATCCATACACCATTGTTCAATACACATCATGCATAAACCATTGTTCAATACACATCATGCATACACCATTGTTCAATACACATCATGCATACACCATTGTTCAATACACAGCATGCATACACCATTGTTCAATGCACATCATGCATACACCATTGTTCAATACACATCATGCATACACCATTGTTCAATACACATGCATACATCATTGTTCAATACACATGCATACACCATTGTTCAATGCACATCATGCATACACCATTGTTCAATACACATTCATACACCATTGTTCACTACACATCATGCATACACCATTGTTCAATACACATCATGCATATGCCATTGTTCAATGCACACCATCCATACACCATTGTTCAATACACATCATGCATAAACCATTGTTCAATACACATCATGCATACACCATTGTTCAGTACACATCATGCATACACCATTGTTCAATACACAGCATGCATACACCATTGTTCAATACACATCATGCATACACCATTGTTCAATACACATCATGCATACACCATTGTTCAATGCACATCATGCATACACCATTGTTCAATACACATCATGCATACACCATTGTTCAATACACATCATGCATACACCATTGTTCAATACACAGCATGCATACACCATTGTTCAATACACATCATGCATACACCATTGTTCAATGCACATCATGCATACACCATTGTTCAATACACATCATGCATACACCATTGTTCAATACACATGCATACATCATTGTTCAATACACATGCATACACCATTGTTCAATGCACATCATGCATACACCATTGTTCAATACACATCATTCATACACCATTGTTCAATACACATCATGCATACACCATTGTTCAATACACATCATGCATATGCCATTGTTCAATGCACACCATCCATACACCATTGTTCAATACACATCATGCATAAACCATTGTTCAATACACATCATGCATACACCATTGTTCAGTACACATCATGCATACACCATTGTTCAATACACAGCATGCATACACCATTGTTCAATACACATCATGCATACACCATTGTTCAATACACATCATGCATACACCATTGTTCAATGCACATCATGCATACACCATTGTTCAATACACATCATGCATACACCATTGTTCAATACACATCATGCATACACCATTGTTCAATACACATCATGCATACACCATTGTTCAATACACATCATGCATACACCATTGTTCAATACACATCATGCATACACCATTGTTCAATGCACATCATGCATACACCATTGTTCAATACACATCATGCATACACCATTGTTCAATACACATGCATACATCATTGTTCAATACACATGCATACACCATTGTTCAATACACATGCATACACCATTGTTGAATACACATGCATACACCATTGTTCAATACACATCATGCATACACCATTGTTCAATACACATCATGCATACACCATTGTTCAATACACATCATGCATACACCATTGTTCAATACACATGCATACATCATTGTTGAATACACATCATGCATACACTATTGTTCAGTACACATCATGCATACACCATTGTCCAATACACATCATGCATACACCATTGTTGAATACACATGCATACACCATTGTTCAATACACATCATGCATACACTATTGTTCAATACACATCATGCATACACCATTGTTCAATACACATCATGCATACACCATTGTTCAATACACATGCATACACCATTGTTGAATACACATCATGCATACACCATTGTTGAATACACATGCATACACCATTGTTCAATACACATCATGCATACACCATTGTTCAATACACATCATGCATACACCATTGTTGAATACACATGCATACACCATTGTTCAATACACATCATGCATACACGATTGTTCAATACACATGCATACACCATTGTTCAATACACATCATGCATACACCATTGTTCAATACACATCATGCATACACCATTGTTCAATACACATCATGCATACACCATTGTTCAATGCACAGCATGCATACACCATTGTTCAATACACATCATGCATACACCATTGTTCAATACACATCATGCATACACCATTGTTCAATACACAGCATGCATACACCATTGTTCAATACACATCATGCATACACCATTGTTCAATACACATCATGCATACACCATTGTTCAATGCACATCATGCATACACCATTGTTCAATACACATCATGCATACACCATTGTTCAATACACATGCATACATCATTGTTCAATACACATGCATACACCATTGTTCAATACACATCATGCATACACCATTGTTGAATACACATGCATACACCATTGTTGAATACACATCATGCATACACCATTGTTCAATACACATCATGCATACACCATTGTTCAATACACATCATGCATACACCATTGTTCAATACACATCATGCATACACCATTGTTCAATACACATCATGCATACACCATTGTTCAATACACATGCATACACCATTGTCCAATACACATCATGCATACACCATTGTTGAATACACATGCATACACCATTGTTCAATACACATCATGCATACACTATTGTTCAATACACATCATGCATACACCATTGTTCAATACACATCATGCATACACCATTGTTCAATACACATGCATACACCATTGTTCAATACACATCATGCATACACCATTGTTGAATACACATGCATACACCATTGTTCAATACACATCATGCATACACCATTGTTCAATACACATCATGCATACACCATTGTTCAATACACATCATGCATACACCATTGTTCAATACACATGCATACATCATTGTTGAATACACATCATGCATACACTATTGTTCAGTACACATCATGCATACACCATTGTTCAATACACATCATGCATACACCATTGTTCAATGCACATCATGCATGGATGGAGTAGCCTAGTGGTTTAAGCGTTGGCTCGTCACGGCAAAGGCCCGGCTGCGATTCCCACATGGGTACAATGTGTGAAGCCCATTTTCCGGTGTCCCCAACTATGATATTGCTGGAATATTGCTAAAAGCGGTGTAAAACCATACTCATTCACTCACTTCGGGAAAAAGGTGTCCAGCTTTTTCCTTTGAAGCGGGGTATCAGGGATTTATTCTTTCACTCAGGAATCCACCTGCAACCTGTCTTCTTCATTGCAGGGTATGTAGACGTTATCACGAGAGTGTGCTTGGGGATGGTAATTATCCTGTATTAGGAATGAACATTGTATTTAGCAAGCCTTGGCAAGCTAAATACATATAGTCCGGCAGAATGTTGACATGACCTTGCAATTTAGGTCCCACAGTTGTTTTTGCATGATTTCATTTGTTCAGACAC